CCCCAAAACCCCAAAACCCCAAAACCCCAAAACCCCAAAACCCCAAAACCCCGAGTGAGATAGAACCAATTGAATTGCACCTTAATTTGAATATTTTAAATTTTACTTTTAAAAATTCATTGATTTTCTTATGAAAGATGCAGAAGTGTTGTTCGTCAATGGATGGAACTTCACTTTACTGCTATAGTCCTTACTCCTATTCTGCTGGTACATCTTTGATGAAGACTCTGAAGAGTATTTTCACTTTGGCGACTTCTTCTGCTTCTGATTAGATTTCTTCTTTCCAGAGGAAGAATTTGAAGGGATATTACCCCCATCATAGTTTCCTTTGTTTTCTTTGAAGCTTTTTAAGTTTCCTTTCGAGTCAACTGTCCTCAACCGGGCTCTGCTTGATTTGTTCTTCTACAAAGGAGATTAAGGGTTAAGATTTGGGAAAGTAAAATAAAAAGTTGAGGTTGTTAAAAATGGTTTTCCGATCTTACGCTCATATTCCTATGGTTCTTAGTCACCATCTTCCTGAATGTAGTTGAGCTGTCCTTCTTTTTCAGCCGTTTGTTATTCACAGGAAGCTTAGATTTATACTGTCCTCTTACAGTGAGCATATTATTCTTAGAAGGAGGAATTCCTCTTGGTGCTAAAGTTTATTTATCACCGTACCCTTGTGACACAGATCCTGTATATTTCCCTCTCTGACATCAATGGTTGCATTGAAGCATGGATTAAATGCATCGAAAGTGCACTCTTTATTTCTTCCTATGGTCTGTGCGGTATTATTAAGCATTTCCTTTGTGCTCTTAACTTCAAAACTACCTCTAATCAGATTGCTAGGAGTGGCATGCTCCTGGCCAAAATTTTTGACTCCGAGTGTGTTCATGCTGGTAAAACTTGATTCGGAATCCGAGTTCTTATTAGAAGCGATAGTGTAGCACTTCTTTGGAGGCTTAAGGTTGCTATTTCTATTTCCTTTATTAACCAGCTTGGCCTTCCCAAAATTCATCATGGTTAATTTGCTTTTCAAACTCTTCTCACTTTGCTGGATGCTTCTGTTGATAGGGTAAGCTGGTGGAGATTTGGCTGGTTTCTTCTCCTTGTACTCCTCCATTAAGCCTTTACTAGAAGGAGTGTTCCTGATAGTATTTAACTTCCCTACATTCCCAGTGTTGTTCTGAACTTTATTTAAAATATTCAAAGATGGTTTAAAAATTCTATTTGATGAAATATTTTCCTTATTCTCAATATTAAACCTGGTCTCAGAGTTAATTCTTTTCTATAAGGAATTACCAAAAAGAGTCTTACCTTGCCGAGATCAAGCTTATCAGCATATTTCTTAGCTAGTTCTTCATTAAGAGTGCCCTTTTTCTTCTCAGATTGATCTTTTCCACTACTCTCTTTACTTTTTAACATGAGTGGGCCTTTGTTAAACTTAACTAGGTCTCTTTCCCTTGACTCTGAAGAGGATGCTTCAGAGGTCATTCTTTTCTCCCCGATCATTAGAATCTTCTTGCTCTTCCTGTTAACTCTGTCATGCTTAAAGATCTTCTCCAATGAATCAGTGACTTTGTAAGTGATATCTGAGTTATTTGCCTCATCGTTCTGGCGCTTATCTCCACTTGTTGGACTAATTATACTGTCAACTGGCTTCTTCAACTCACTTGTTGGAGACTGGCTTGGAATTGGGGAGTTCACTACAAAATCTGGATTCGGGTTAGACTTTAGTGTTGATCCATTAGAGAGAATTCCGCTTTGTAGAGACAATGAATTTGGATGATGTCTTTTACTGGATGTTTTATTAGTCTCCGAAGATATGGATTTTTGGCAAGGGTTCACTGAGTTGGTCATCCCACCAGCCTTCTGAGATTGCACTGATTTATCAAAACCGTATTCAACACTTTTAATCGACATGTGTCTAGAGAGGTTGTGTGACTCTACTGTATTGACTGTTGTAGCATTTGAATATCTTGAAAGCAGTGGTTGGTAGTTTACCCCTGTGATAGCTGAATTATTTATCAAACTAGACTATTAGCATGTTAATTTACCAGGGTTTTATACTGGGCTTCAAGCTCTGCAACCCTCTTCTCCCTTTCTTCAACAGCAGCTAATCTTTGGTCTATCATTTTGGATTTCTCTATTAGCTCACGCTCTTTTTCTTTAAGAAGCTTATCTTTTCTGATACATTCATCTTTCCATTCTCTGATTTTGAATTCTTTTATCTTCATGTTGACGTTCATGTTTTTAGTAATGAGATCTTCGACAGAAGGTCTATTGTCAGGATCGATATTTAGCATTTTGACAATAACTTCTTGGAGCTCTTTTGAATATACACTAGGGATGGAATCTACCTTTCCCTCAGCAATTTTCTTAGCAAGTGCTAAGAAGTTTTCAGCATGGAATGGAGGTTTGAGAGCAGCTGCTTCGTAAATAATGCATCCGAGTGACCAAATATCACTTTTATAATTATATTTTTCTTCATTAACTTGCTCAGGAGACATATAGTAAGGAGTTCCAACGTTAGTGTAAGCATACATAGAATCATTAATCAGGATTTTGGACAATCCAAAATCTCCTAATTTTACATTTGTAGACCCAACAAGGAACACATTGGCAGGTTTAATATCTCGATGAATGATAGCTGGAGTTTTCCTGTGTCAGTACCTCAGAGCCATTCATAGCTGAGAGAGAATTTTCCATATCATTTCTTCAGGGATATGCTCATTGCTCTTCTTAGTCCTCTTAATAACCTGCGAGAGATCACCTCCGTCACAATATTCCATGATAATGTACAGCCTGTTTTTCTCCTTCTCGAGGATACTAATCGAGCGTTAAGGTTTAAAAATAAGGAAGTAAAATGGCTCATGACTAACTTACCTATCAAAATATCTGACTATGAATTGCGACTTCAAGTCTCTTAAGATGTTCACTTCATTGATCATCTGCCTCTTCTCCTTCTCTTTGAATTTTGTATAGTCAATCTCTTTGCAGACTAGGATTTTACCGTCTTTTTTATGCCTAATTTTTGAAATTTGGCCAAATCCGCCTAAAATTTCAGTAAATTTCTCAGTTATAATGAAAAATTTGCTAGCAACTCCAGTATGCTAGCCCTAAGGCCATTGGTTGATATGCATTAAGAAGGGAGGCCTACCTTTTCCTATTTTCCCTAAAACCTCGTATTTCTCCATTCCTTGAATTTTAAATTCGGCGCCTATTAATTTTATTGAATATTTTAAGTTTAGACGGGGTTTTGGGGTTTTGGGGTTTTGGGGTTTTGGGGTTTTGGGGTTTTGGGGTTTTGGGG